ACTCCAGGCTGATATGCATGAGGATTAATCACCGGTGGTCAGATTCCAGGATCACCACGGTGGTCACTGTGGAGGAAGGCTGTCTAGACTCAGGCATAGGCCAAAGGGCAGTGTCAGGAGTTTCAAAGAACAGGTCACGGCCCAGCCTGGTGACTCCCTGTGTGCTCCTGGGTGCTGAGAGTGGGTGTTCGTGTGTGAATGGGGGGGGGGGGGAAGTTCCTGCCCTGCTTACTGCAGGAGTCGGATGAGAAACCACGTAAGAAAGCTGTTGGAGACCGTGCAGTGCCCGGAACACACACACCGTAAGAAGTTAGAGCCGAGGTTAAGACGAGCAGGGGCTCCACGTGTTGGAGACATAACGACCAGTCTCCACGGAACCAAGCCACGCTTGTCTAATGGACCAGCCGACGACCCAGGCCACTGTTTCACTCTGCTGTGGGCCACTCCCGGCCTCTCATGTTTGTCATTAGGGGGCAGGAAATCCCTTGGTCCTGCTCACAGGCATGCAATGCCTGAGCAGCCCTCTTCATCGTGTCGTTCGTTCCTCGAATCATTCACCTACCTCATTTAATGCACACAAATGTGATTTGCCAGGTAAATATTCCCTTTACAATATATGAATGTGGTGCTATGCAAAAGAGAAAGAACCTCTCATTCTGAGGGCTCAAACCAGGCTGACTTTGTGTAGAATGAGTTTGCTGGATGGAGACATTTAAAAAATATTTTGTATGATCTTCTGGATTCTATGTATATTGCAAGTCTGCTAATTTTCAACATTAGAAAAAGGGGCAGTATATAAAGTGCTAATTGTGAAAGAAAAAATAGATAAATTGGGCTTCATTTAAAATTTTAAAAAACCTTCTGGTCTTAAAAGACACAGACAACAAAAAGGCAAGTCACAAACTGCGAAAAATATTTGCAACATATACTTGACAAAGGACTGATAAACAGAATATATAAGGAACTCCTACAAACCAATAACGACAAGATAAACAGCCCAATTAAAAATGGACAGAAGATGGGGCTGGCCCGGTGGCGTAGTGGTTAAGTTCGTTTGCTCCGCTTCGGCAGCCCGGGGTTCGCAAGTTCGGATCCTGGGTACAGGATCCGAACGCACCGCTTGTCAAGCCATGCTGTGGCAGGCATCCCACATATAAAGTAGAGGAGGATGGGCATGGATGTTAGCCCAGGGCCAATCTTCCTCAGCAAAAAGAGGAGGATTGGCAACAGATGTTAGCTCAGGGCTGATCTTCCTCACCAAAAAAAAAAAAAAAAGACAGAAGACTTGAACAGATATTTCACAAAAGAAGTATACATATAGTAAGTAAGCATACAAAAAGTGTTTAATGACAACAGTCATCAGAAAAATGCAAATTATACCCACAATAAGATTGTCTCTACATCCAGTAGAATGGCTGAAATTAGAGAGACTGATACCACCAACGCTGGTGAGAAATTGGAGCCACCAGAACACTCCTCCACGGCGGGTAGGAACACAAATGGCACAGCAATCTGGAGAACGGTTTGGCAGTTTCTTACAAAATTAAACACACTCCTGCCTTGTGACCCAGCAGTTCTACATCTCAGTATTTCCCCAAGAAAAATGAAAACACACATCTGGAGAAAGGACTTGTACAAAAATGTTCATAGCAGCTCCGATCACGTGAGCCCAAATTGAGAAGCAACCCAAATGTCCGTCACCAGGAGAATGAACACACATACAGTGGTACAAATATATAACGGAATACTGCTCAGCAACAAAAATTTACAGACTGCTGATACTGCAACTGCGTGGCTGGACATTACCGGCGTCCAGCTGTGTGAAAGCAGCCAGGCTCAAGTGTGGGCTGTAGTTTCCGTCTCGTGAAATTCAACAACGTGCTAAATGATCTCGGTGACAGAAATCAGAACCGTGGTTGCTTCTGTTTGTAGGGGGTGGGGGGCAGGATTGGCTGGAAAGCAGCCTGAGAGACCTCTCAGGGGTGACGAGAATGTTTTCTATCTTATTTGCAGATGGAGACATAGGTGTATTCATTTATCAAAGTGCATTGAACTACTCTCGTGATCTGTGCATTTTACTGCACGTAAATCATACCTCTACAAGAGAAATTAATAAAACAAAAAGGTGGTGCTAAGTCCCAATCTTAGAAAGCCCAAGGCAGACAGAACCCAGTAGGAACCATTCCAGAATGTCCCCCACCCGAAAATCCAGCTCCAATTCTATCTCCTTTGTGCTGCTGTCCTGCTCCACCCCGGGTTACAGGCACGCCGTCCTCCTCTGACCCAGAGCTGCATTACAGTAGAGTTATCATGTTCATACTTTACCACCCTTCGTAGACAGAGGATGGGCCCCAAAGACGCCCACGTCCCAATCCTCGGGACCTGTGAATACGTGACCTTACATGGGGAAAGGGAACGAAGGCTGCGAGTCAGTTCACCCTGACCTGGAGTAGCCAGGTGGGCCCGGTGTGATCACACAAGCCCTAAAAAGCGGAAGAAGAGGAGGCAGAAGGGAAGGTCAGAGACGTGTAACGTGCGAGGGACCTGGCCCAGAACTGCTACCTTTGAAGATGGAGGAGGGAACGTTGCAGCCTCTAGAACCTGGAAAAGGCAAGGAAATGCTTCCTCCCCTAGAGCTTCTGGAAAGGAACGCAGCCCTGCCAACACTGGGACTGTGGCCTCGTGAGGCCCCACCAGACTTCTGACCTCCAGAACCACAAGATAAGACATCTGCCACCAAGTTTGTGGCAATTCGTTCCAGCCACAGTTTGTTCCAGCTCCTACGACCCTCAGGGACAACAGGACCTGTGGTTTCTCTGTCTCTGGCTCAGGCTCCTCAGGCCTGGGGCCGGGAGGCGCCCGGGAGCTGTGCGCAGCAGCAATGCACGGGCGTGCCTCTGCTCCACGGCACAGCAAGGTGCTTGGAGTCAGACCTGCTTCCATGTCTCGAGTCGCCCAGGACACCCGGGCAGCCCCCAGAACTGGCTGGAGCCCCGGGAGTGATGATCCCCGTACCGGGCATCAGCCCCGGTAGAGAAGGCACTTTATCAAGGATATGGGCCCGCAGAGCGTGCAGAGGAGCCAGCCCTTCTAGGGATCTCCGTCACCCCTGCCAGCTTCCCCACAATAAATACAAACCAGCCACTGTCCCCGGGAAGCCCCTTCCGGAGGAGACACATTAGTCTGGACAAGCTGCACCGTGTCCACCCGCCCCCGTGGGGACACTGCCAGTGGGCGGGGAAGCCACACATTCTTATCCAGGGGAAGTGGGCAATGCTGGCAGGTGGGTGGAGAAAGCCCACAGCAGTGGAGGGGAGGAGGTGGCTCCAAGCTGGCCCTGCCTTTTCCTCTCCCTCTCCAGGAAGCCAGTGGTTTCTGGAGGATGCAGGGAGCAGGAAGGCCCAAATGACCCTTACATGCGGGCATCCTGGGCTGCCCCTCCAGGTGTGGCATCGTCAGCAGTGCTGGGCACTGACACGCCTGAGTCTTTCTGCCAGAAGAGTGGAGGGAGGGGGGACCAGTGCTGAATCTATGTACTGAGAGAGGCAAGGAGGGCTGGGATTTTCATCCCTGTCAGGAGGGAAGGGGCAGGGGGCATCCAGCAGCCTGGGAAGGCGAGTCAAGCTCCCAGGCCGTGGCCTTGCCCTTCACAGACCAGAGGGGCTGGGCAGGCTGCTTGCTGGCGAGGACGAATGTGGGCCAGGGGTCTGTGGGCACAGGAGGGGCCAGGAGGTTGGCCTGTACCAGGGGCTCAGTACACCCATCATCACACCCAGGAAAACAGGCTCCCACCCACCCGCTGACCACTGGCCCACCAGCCGCCTTCCCCCGTGGAGCACATTCCAGTCTTCCCTTTCAAGGGTAAGTTTGGGACATTGCCCACCTCGACACCCCCACAAAGTTGCAAACATTACGGTTCCCCTCTGTTTGAACCTGAGCAGACACCGGACGCGGGAAGCTTAGTGCAAGTTGACACTCCCCTGACGTCCAGTTCTCAGAAAGGGAACCAGCTGAGTGCCCCTGATGAAGACTGTGCAGCCAGCCAGGTCTGGGGGTACCCAGCAGACCAGGAGACACCCTCGTGCTTTCCAGAGCACGTGTCTTCAGGACACCTCATTTCCTGGCCGTGAGAGCCCAGACAGACCCGTCACGGGGCAGGGGGCTCCCTGGTGAGCATCTTGGACGGGAACCTCCAGGGGACAGAGGGTCATCTGAGCAGAGCTCAGGGGCCACCGGTCTGCACGGGGAGACGCAGCAAAGCCATCGCTGCAAAGTGAACGTGGCCGCTTCTGACGTGCGCACTGAGAGTCTGGGGTTCCACCAACAGCCAGAAGAGCGCACCTGTGGACCAGGCTCCTCTTATAAGTCAGCTGGGGCTTTGCTTTTCCCAACTCCCGTATTTTTCTCCCAATACCGTTTTATATAAGTGGTCTCCTCTTAACATTTTAATCAATTCCATCCTTTGGAAATCAATTTTAAAACGGTTTTCAGCAAGAGCTCTATTTGGGAGTTCTGAGAGATGCTGAAATGATCTTCCTTTGCAAACACCCACCTCTTTTGAGCAGTTTTCATCCAGGCATCACACTGTGTAGTTCTTAGCGAGGGCATGGGAGGGCCCTTCTGGTAAATGTGAAGCTGCCTGTTTATGACATCGGTATAAGAGATCCATAAAGGGGCTTTAAGCATTTAATTAACCCAAAAAAGACTTTTTCTGATGGCTAGAATGTAAGATCCAAGTTTTCTGGGATGTTCATCGAGCTGCCTTTTATCTAAAAGCTTCCACACCGTCTAGTAAGGGATTCCTGGTTTGGACAAACCCCAGGGGAACTGAATCGACCTGCTTCAACAAACCAGAGAAGGCCTCGTTTTGGAACTCGGCCCTTCTCTGTACCAGTGCACCAGCCGACGCCTGCCGCACGCTCCACGTAACCGACAACGCGGACCTCGGCCCGAGGGAGGTCGAGAAACCCACCGCGGGGTCGCAGACGGCGCCCGCTTACCTGCCTGGCCGTCCCTGGGCTTGCACTGGACTTCCTCCACGCACTCGGCCGGGAACCACCCGACGTGGCCGCGGGCGCTGCCTTCCCAGAAGCCGCCTTCGCCGATGCTCAGAACTAGACAAGGAAAGGGGAAGACGTTAAGGGCAGGGCTCGGAGGGCGGGGGGTGAGGAAGGGAGGTGGGGGGCAACAGACGGAGTGGAGCCCGCATGCGTTGGCCAAGCCTGCAGAGCCAGTGGCTCTGGTCCCTTTGCCAGCTGACCACGCTTCCTTCTGCTGTGGATGAGGGGACTGGCAAAGTGGCCCTCGGAGAGGACAGAGCTGAGGCCGTAGCCTCTGCAGTCCCCAGGTCCCCTCCACCCGTTAGGCCTCGGGGAGAGAATGTAAGTGCATCCTGGCAACTTTCTGTCTTAGACCACAGGTCTTGTGGACACTCTGTCCCATTCCCCGGTGTTCCAGTAGCTGTAAGCACCCACCATCAATTACGTCAGGTGTAAAACTTGGGGGCAGGCCACCTCAGTGGGGAGAAGAACCATGAGCTCGTGTCTGGAGGGGAAGGGTCCGAGAGTTCGGGTCTGCCGGACCTTTTAAACCAGTTTGGAAAAAGAGAATTGACGGCAGGAGACGGAAGACCAGTGAAGAGCTGTCTGGTGACTCCACGGTGCCATCTGGACTCAGTGAAAAGGCTGCACCGAAAGCTTGTCTGGCCAACGCCGGCACGCTGGGCCCTGGCCCTGTGGCGTGCTGGCTTATTAATGAAGAACCTAATGCTTATGTGGGTGCTCGCAAGGAGCAGGGGTTTGCCACTCCCCTTAGAGAGAGGCGGAGGTGGGCTTGTCCCCAGGGGGCCACTCTGCACAGTGAAAACACGAAGACAAGCGAGGTCGGACATCACAGCTGCCCCGCCTGCAGGGCTGGGGGACGAAAGGCCGGGTTTGGGGTTTCCCTCCCTGGGCTCTGTGCTGGGTGCTCAGAGGGCCTTGTAAACATCCACCGGGAGAGTGAAGCAAATTTGTTTCTGAGCGTGGGTGGGCAATGCAAACCTAAAGACATGGGGGGAGGACGTCACAAGGACCCAAATGCTCCCCAAGGCACCATCTGGACAGATATTTTGGTTGTAAGGGCCAAGCTCGCAGGTGGGGTGGGGGGAGGGAGTGTTGATATCCTAGGCCTTTGGTGCTGGGCTGGGGCTGCCCCCACGCCCTGGCTCCCTCAGAACATAGCTGTGCAACAAGGAAGTCAATATCATCTCTGCACATCTTAATCTTTAAATTACTCAGGACCCGAAGGCACCAGAAGTGCAGAAAAAGGGATCAAGGCGACAGAAGTGATTTCTTCCAGCTCTCATGTTAATCTCAAAGGCCCGATAAACAACGGCTGGACCCACAGTCTTTGAAGGTCAACAGAACAGAAAACATCGGCTTTATAAGTCTTTGCCTAATAATGTGAAGAAATGACCTAAATGGAACAGACAAGCAGCCTCCCAGCTGACCAGTCCGAGTGTAACTGCTTGGAGCATTTCCTCCAAAAGCGGATGCCAGCCCCTTATACGCCACGCACCCCAGCTGACTGGACGCACACCATGGTTCCCAATGGAATCCTGGCTCTGAGAAAGTCATCGAGAGGCAGTGCCCTGGACAGCGAAGGGAGGCCAGGGCCCCGCCCGTGTGCTGTGTGGGCCGATGCCCAGCAAGGGAGCCACCATTTTTCTCCTTTCCTAGTGCCTGTGAGCAGCCATTCTGTTGTTTTAGGGGGTCTGGGGAGGCAGGAATGCTTAAAAGAACTCTGCCACATCTGACCTATGTGACACATGGGAAAGCTTCTTCGCCTCCGTGCCTCAGTTTCCTCATCTGTCAGATAACACTGTTTAGCTCAGAGTGTTGCTGTGTGTGAAAGAGAGGCACGCTAACCCAGATGGAGCCCCATCCCGGCTCACTGGCTTCCTTCCAAGCTCCCCCGTCAGCGATAACACATTCCACTTCCTCGATTTATCAACACCAAGGATACAGTTCTGGGTGTGTTATTGTCATTATGAGACCAAAGGAAAAGATGAAAGGCTGTTTACAGCTAGCTCGAGAGAGCGGGGAGGTGAATACAATGAAAAAGATGAGAAGTGCTGAAAAGAATCTCTCAGCTCGGGGACCCATCGTGCAGGACTGGTTCAGCTACATGGGGGGAAGGGGAACAACAGCACCCGTGCCGAGGGAGCGGGTGCGGGATGAGGAGGGAGAAGGGGCGCAGGATGAGCCCGGGTTTCTGGTGGAGCAAATGGCAGCTGGGGCTCCTCTTTATGGAGGTGGGAGGAAGAGAGGGGTGTGTGTGTGGAGCAGGTGGAGGCGGGATTCTGGGTCCCATCGGAACATCCCATGTTCAGGCGGTCTGCATTATAGGCCCTTCGGTTCTTAAGTGGCCGCATGTGAGTCCTGCGACCGGGTACCTGGGCCATCCGGCCATACTCCTGGCTTGCCCTCTTGGCTTTTTGTCGACCTGCCTTCTCAAGGGCAGGTGCTGACTGCCCCCGTGACAGGCACACCCGTGTCCAGGAGGGACTGGGTGTTCCTTGTACAGCCACGAGGGAGTCGGCTTGGGCTCGCCCATGAATCCATGATTTAAGCCATTGAAAAGTAAACAGTTCACACTATGAGAACAAATGGCACATTGACTCGCCCCCCCAGAAGCCCAGCACGCGCCCTGAGGCCACAGTTGAAAAAAAACTGGTCGGAGAAGGTACCCAGTCTAGCTGTCCACTCTACTGGTCACTATGCTGGGCATCTCCCTTCCAGAGACACACAAGCCCTCCTTTGTGAACTGGAAAACAGTAACGACCTACTCTGGATTAGCTCGGCAAAGTTAACGGGTGTGGGCAGGGACTGTCACTGTGTGACCCCCACCCCTCTGCGATGCTCCAGCCCTCACTCCTCACCCTGCCCGGGTCGCTGAGGAAGCACTTATCTGGCTGCATGGGAGTGAGGCCCAGGTTTTTCCCCTATTCTGCACCGAATCTGCCCGGATGGAATGTCCCTCCAGGCCATGCTGAATTTCGATCTGTCCGGGGCTTTGCTCCATATGTGCATCACCACAGGGATCAGAACAGGTGCACCCCTGTTCCTGGGCACCCCTCATTCTAAGAGAGACATGTTGGGATGTTTTCCCAGGTGCACGGGGATCAACTGTCTGCTAGTCTACCTAGCCTCGTAGGGCCAAGCAGAAAAGACTGTATACAGTGAGAGCTGAGGCCCAGCCAGGGAGCTGCAGGGTTAGAGCAGGACCCCCAGGCCCTGGCTGCCTGCCTCCAGGACCCCACATCCCTGGAAGGAGTGAGCCCCGTTTCTCCCAGAATCCTCCTAGACCTCCTGCCCCTGCGGCGGCTCCTTTGAGGTCTGGGGGCAGAATTCCTACAAAAGCACCTTGGCTCACCTTAGCTGGCCTGCCTCCAAGAGCTGCTAGCCAGGCAGCCAGGATGCCAGGGGCCTTGGCAGGGAGGGAAGAGGTCCCGGTCGACAGCGTAATGGGCACCAAGCCGACAGCGTGCGCGCGGCCTGCGTGGCCCTCCCAGCTCTCTTCACAGCCTTTGAATCTGTCCTCTGCTCTGCGAGTTTTGGAACTGAGCTCCGTCACTTCCGTTCTCGATGGGAGACAGGCTGGCTCCCCGCATGCCCCATACTCTACAGCGAGGGGCAGGTCCCAGTCTGGGGGTGATGCCCCAGGAGGGGGATGGGTGATGCTGGGAAAATGGGGTGACAAGCACGTCCTCCTATGCCGTGTCCACGGGGATCCTGCCCAAGCCTGGACCCCTCTGAAGGGTTCTGGGTCCACATCTCAGCCTTGGGCCACCTTCCCACTGTCCTGGTCTGTGCAGCCAAGAGCCTACGTCACCCCGAGTGTGACGGCTGTGGCGGGGGCTCACCCTTCTCTCCCCGGCCATCCTCACCCAGGCTGCAGACTCAGGGTCTGATGTCACCTTTCACTTCCCACCCTCTGACCCCCTACTCCACTGACGCGCAGCCCCTCTCCTCTTCCTGCACGCCCGTTTCCCGTCCACGTCTGGGGGCTGCGGGACACAGGCTGGGAAGGACAACACAACACAGGGGCTTGGCTGACAGCTGTCCCTCCCTCCGCAAGCCGTCGGTCTGTCTGCCTGCAGCGATTCCCACAAGAAACCCTGCCCCTGCTCTCTGTGTCTTCATTGTCGCCTCCTTGACCCCGGCAAATGTGCTGACCCTGGGAGCCTTCAAACCCCTCCCCAGAACACCCTCTGTGGCCCTCCAGTGAGCTCTGAGGGGACTCAGTGCAGGTGCAATTCGTTGACCTCTGGCCCTCTGAGCCTCAGGTTTCTCATCTCTACAATGGGGACAGGCCTGGACGAGAGCTGCCTTGGTCCTAGCACAGGCCTCCCCTGCTCCCTGGCCACCCGCCCACGTGGTCTCAGCATCCTGTCACTTGACAGCTCAGGTCAGCCTTGTGGGGAGTCCGTGGCTAGGCCCATGGGGGCCCACGTTGGGGCTTCTCTTCGCTGAGCCGGGCATGGCTGGAACGAAGCAGGGGCGTGTGCAATCGGCAGCCCAGAGCTGGGAGAAGCTCTCTCCCAAGTCAAGGACGGGCCACAGTGATTGTGAAGCACCCAAGTGGAAGGCAGGAATGCCAGCCCCTCGATGGAAACACAAGCAGAGACCCCAACCTGTCAACTGGGATGCAGCACAGGGACACACACACGCACGCACACACACACACTCACACATGCACACACACACTCACACAGGCATATCCCAGCAATTTGACGGCCTCCCCGAGTATCAAGCTGAAACAGCCCTTCCCTTCCTCTGGCTTCTTCCTTGTGCAAGCCTGACCTGCAGGCCACCCAATGCTCCTCCACCACTGGCCCCCACAGGGCAAGTCGGCAGAAGCAGGAGCCTCAAGGGCAGCCCTGAACGGCCCCACACTTGGAGTCTTGCGTGCTGGCAGTGAGGGCTGCATGACTTGGCACTCACCTGTCCCTTTCCCATGGCGCCCAGTGTAGTGGACACTGTCAGTGCTGCACCCAGGACCCCTTTATCAGAAGCACCATCCCCCAGCTGCTGTGAAGCAGGTTGCTAATGGCTCAGAGCTGACCCTTGTCCTCTGAGCTCCCAGAACTGGGAGCCGTCCAGCCCAGGAGGTTATGCCCCACTCCCCACGAACCCAAGCCAGGACACATGGTGCCCCCCACTTCACACCCGGGTCCATGCTCCTTCTCCCTCGCCTGGTCCCCAGCACCGCTTTTGGGGCACCCGATACTCAGTGACGGGGAGCTGAGGGAAGGAATGACTCCACTTGCAGAATGGAGCAGCCTGGCTGACCGCCAAGCGTCCACATACAAATGCGTGGCGGAGACAGTGAATCTGCCTCTTATCTCTCCAAGCGACGTTAAGACCACAAACTGAGGCAGAGCCAAGTAAAGCTGGCACCAAGCAGACCAAGGAGTGAGCAATCAGGAGAGACGATGGGGTGGGGGGTGGGACCAGTGTGGGCTGGGAGTCCCGACAAAGTAGATCTGAATCCGCATCCCCCCGGTAATCAGCTGTGGGAGATGGGAGACTTGTTAACCCGAGTTACCAGGTCAGTAAAAGACAGGTGCTATGGGCTGAATTGTGCCCCCCAAACTCTATGTTGGACCCCTAACCTCAGAACCTCAGAATGTGACAGTATTTGGAGCTGGGTCTTTAAAGAGGTAATTAAGTAAAAATGAGGTCACAAGGGTGGGTCCTGATCCAATATCACTGGTGTCCTTATAAGAAGAGATCAGGACACAGACACGCACAGAAGGACGACCACATGAGGACACAGGGAGAAGACGGCCGTCTACACACCAGGGAGAGAGGCCTCAGGAGGAACCAGCCCCGTGACACCTGGATCTCAGACGTCCAGCCTCCAGGACTGGGGGACAGTCAACGTCTGTTGTTCAAACTGCCCCTTCTGGGGACTTCGTTACAGCAGCCCGAGCAGACTGATGCCACAGGATCTGATACGTACGGCCCACAATTGCTATGAGGTTTACACGCAAACACGTATGTGACGTTTGTATGCCTGGTAAACAGCAGGCGCCCACTGACGAGAGTCTCCACCTTTAGAAAGTATCCTCTAGTATCTCTGAAGTATAGAGAAGGATACAAAGACCCTAGATATGAAGTGACTGGCCAGTGGGTCACCAGGAAGGTTTCCCAGGCTCTTCCCAGCCCGGCCTGAAGCCTGCATGACCCTGGGGGTGCATAGCGAGGTGGTCCCATGTGGAATGAAAGCTCGGGACTGTGGGCTGAGCCGATTTCAGAGCTGGGCTGGGTAAGGAGACCCAGCTGATATTTGGGGACCACAGGGTGGGGTGGGGTGGGGTGCATGGACATAAGAGCAGGCTGCATTTGGGCACACGTCATCTTCACACGAGCTGCCGGCCTCCCCCACCTCCTGAGTAGCCAACTGCACGGATTCAGGGGCTGACCGACCAGGAAGAGATGTGGGTATTTTTAGCATCGCCACCCCACAGTAATCAGACAATAGCTCCTAAAGGCGGCAAGGCCTGGGAGCCTGCCCTTCCCAGTTTCCTCAGAACAGCGGCAGCTCCCAGGCGCGGCTCTGCTGACCCAGCAATGCTGCACCCGCTTTCTGCCTGGGAGGAAGGCAGTGAGGGCCACTGGGCTGGAACAGCCGGGCCTCCTGGGAGAGCTGCGGGAAGGTCCTCGAGGCCTGGGCTTCCCCGGTTCCCGCCGGGCCCGCCGGCTCTGCCAGGAGTGGGGCTTCCCCGCGGCACTCCCAGGACACCCTCCCGCGGCCTGCAGGTCAGGGGAAGTGAGAGGAAGAGGCACAGCCGGAGCAGCGGTGCACACGCCGGCAGCGGTCCACCAGCCTAATGCGACTGTAAAAAGGGACTTTTGTCCAGGAAAGGCCACATGCTCAGCAGATGTTCAGTCACCTTCTGTCCAGAGCCTGGGTGAGGACCGCAACGGAGCCACAGGGGAGGCACCTCCCCGGATGCCAGCCAACCCGTCTGCAAAGGCTACGTCCTGTGCACGGATGGCGAGTGGGCCACACTGTGACTGCTGCAGGGTCAACTGAGAATTTCTCAACACGCAGGGAAAAGGTCTACCCCATGATGCGTTCTGGTATTACAATTCAAAACTGCAGGTCATGTGAATTTTTACATTTATTATTTGAATGTTTATAATGTAAAAGTTAACAAAAATGCTGCATTAAACTACCTAGGGACAATTCAGGGACTTCTGCTTATGAGTATGATGGTCAAAGACCCCGCTGGACCACACCACAGAAGGCAGCTACAGACCCTGACTGTGATGGAAAAGGTCCTGGAACCGGGGGGAGAGGTAGACGGGCTGGTGGGATGCACGCTTGCCGTGGGGAGAGGGGAGAGGAGCTGGACAGGAGAGGCCCTCCTCCACGGCTTGTAGCCTGACTGAAGCACAGTCCACACAGCAGGGCTGGCAGCGGAGGGGCTCACAGCAAACACCCGCGGTCTGAGTAGCTGAAGAGCCAGACAGATGAAGCCAGGAAGAGGCTGGGGGCAGCCCCACAAGAGCCAGAGACAGGCCAGCAAGCTCACCCCCCCACATCTCTGACCCCGGGTACAGAACAGACACAGAGCAGCTCAGCTAAAATCTGAGACCTGAGCTCGCCCGGTGCTGTCACCCCAGCAACTCACCAAAACTTAAGAAAGAAAACTAACAGAGCCAGAATCTCCACAAGTTAATGCTCCTAATGTCCAGAACGCAATAGAAGATAACCGGACACACGAAGACCTACGAGGATGGAGCCCATTCTCAAGAGAAAAGAAAACTAGGTGAGCCTGACCCTGAGATAACTCTGATGGCAGGACTCACAGATGGGGATTTTAGGGCGACGATTACACCAACACAATGTCGTGAAACAGCACGTGCCTTCGATGACTGAAAAATCTCAACAGAGTCACAGGAAGTCTCGGCAAATAAAAAGAAACAATAAAAGAAAACGCACGTGGAAACTCTAGAGTTTAAACACGTAATTTCTGAAATTAAAAAATTCACAAGATGGACTTGACAGCAAAGGGGATGTTTCAGAGGAAGGAGTAAGTGACCTGAAATAGATCAATAGAAACGATCAAGGGTGAAGAAGAAGAGACGGAAAGAAAATGAACAGAGTCCCTGGGACTTGCTGATGCCACCAGATGGTTAAGTATGTGTGCGGCTGGACCACTGGAAGGAGTCAAGAGAGAGAACGGGGCTCCTCCTGTCCCTGGAAACCCAGGTGACGGCCGGATTAGTGCACGGTATAGAGGAGGGGACCGCGTTAATTACCAGCTCAGGGCCAAGTGGTGACGAGGTGGGGCAGGCAGGATTTGCACCTGGCCTACCCACCTCCACGAGGCATGCTTTCTATCCCATGCCTCTTCTGAATGGCTGCCCTCCAAGGGCAGGGCCTGGGCATGGCTGGGCATGGGTGGTGTGCCTCTTCTTGTCCTTTCTGGTGAGTTCAGCTGCCCCCATCTGTCACTTCTCCATTTCCCTTCATGGCTTTTAGCACCATAGGCCTCGACTGCAGCCACTGCCAGCCTCCCTTGGTCCTCCACCTGCGTCACTACATCCATCTTCCTTAAGGGTCTCACATAACTCATCTCCCTGCTCAGAAACCATCGCTGGCTCCCCAGTACCCTGGGAACAAAGTCTAACTCCTTGGCCTGGCATTCGTGGCGGCCCTCAATGCTTTTCAACCACAATTCCGAGGATTCTGCTTCGGGAATCCTTCCCTCCAACCCGGTGGGATTCCTTCCTTGGAACGATGTAGGCCTCCAGGCTGTGGCTCATGCTGGACTGTCCACCTAGACACCCCTCCCTGACTCCCAACAAGACATGTCCAATTCTGACCTATGCTAGGACGAGTCCCAATGCCACTACTTCGTGAGGCCCTTGGGTTCTGCCCGTGGACGCCCCCATCTGCCCCCTCCCCTGCACGTTCTGCAGGGGAATCTCATTCCTGATATGCATGCGTTGTCTTCTCTAACAGACATCAGAGACACTGCGGCTGCGTCCCGCGAGAAGGACTGGCGAGCGTCACTCTGTTCCCTGCTCTGCCCTCCCAGGGCCACCTATTTTCCACAGGGGGTGCTGCAGAAGCGACGCCTTAGATGTTGACACCCCAACAGACCAGCTGAGGGGGTCAACGGCGGCTGAGGGGCCCCAGAAGCAAGGACATCATGGACACTGACCTTTGACCCTGTCGCCGCGGTGGAGGGGGATCTCGCCATCGACCTGGGGTTGGTATGGCTTGACGACGATGAAGAGCCTCCCGGGCACCGCGCTGTAGAGCTTCCGCTTGGGCCCCGGGTACTCGAAGGCGGAGAGCACGTCCTTGTTGGCGCTGGGAGGGAAAGTCGGCCTGAGAGAGAGGGGGCAGAGAGAGAGAGAGAGGGTCACTGCCTGAGACACAGCAGGTCACCCTGCTGACCCGCTGCCAACCCGTTCACAGCAATCGCCGGGCAGTCACATCAGATGGAGCTCCTGATTCTAGATGGGGCTGAAGACACGAACAGGCCCCAGGGCAGCCTTTGTGGTTAAAAGACTCAGGCAGATCCAGCAATCCCCCTTCTGGGAAGAGACCCCCAAGAAGGGAAAGCAGGGACTCAAAAAGATATTTGCACAACCATGCTCACAGCAGCATTATTCACACTAGTCAAAAGGTGGAAAGAACCCAGTGTCCATGGATGGATGAATGGATAAACAACACGTGGTCCATCCATACAATGGAATATTATGGAAAACAATTTTAAAAAGGAAGGAAATCCTAACACAGGCTACAGCATGGATGAACCTTGAAGATGTTACGCTGAGTGAAAGAAGCCAGTCACAAAAGGACAGACATTGTATGATTTCCCTTATAGCATGTTCCTGGAGGAGTCAAATTCATGAGACAGAAAGTAGGATGGTGGGCGCCAGGGGCTGGGGGAGGGGATGGGGAGTTAGTGTTTGATGGGGACAGAGTTTCAGTTTGGGAAGATGGAAAGTTCTGGAGATGGATGGTGGTGATGGATGCACAACAACGTGAATGTGCTTAATGCCACTGAATTGTACAGTTAAATATGGTTAAGATGGTGAATTTTATGTTATGTGCATTTTACCACAATTTTAAAAACAAATAATAAAGGAAAAACACTCCAGTGGAGGCAGCAATCAGGGTAGGCCCTGGGTCTCTGACATTCTGTTTCACTGTGAGCACCAGCTGCCCAGGTGAGGAAACACCCAGAACCTTCCATCGAAAGCTCTAATTATCACAGTGCACACGGCCCACTCCCGCGGCCCCCGATGACATTTCACAAGAGGCACTTCAATCCTTTCCTGCTTCATGTTGTTATTTCACAAAGAGCGTACATGCACAGGCCGACTTCCACCCCTGACGTGAGTGACACCTTAACCGGGCCCAACGGTGTGGCACATGGGGGAGAGAGGAGGGTTTAGCGAGACATGGGCAAGTGGTTTCCACGACGATGTTGTTGTGTTGGGTGCATCGTTGTGTTGTGTGACCGGGGCCGACTATTTCTGGGAAGGGGAAAGACAGCACGTCCACCCTTGCCCTATCAACGACAATCATGAGGTGTCATGGCGAGTTCTCTTCCCGTGATGGGATCTTTAGAAAAGACATCCACACGGATGAATCTGGGCAGGGATTTTGGGACGACGCTCTAGAGCACCCTGGTCAGAAAGACAAGAAAAGCATTCACCTGCGGCTGGTGTCTTCCAAGAGGGCACCCAGCCACGGGAAAGTGAGAGGAGTATCAATAATACCTGGGGAAGGTTCCAGAATTGGGGAACCACGTCTGAGTCTCGGGAGGAGGCCAACTCATGTCACAAATTCATGGCCACGAAGCCTGGGGTTCCCAACCGTGGCTCTCCTCTCAAACTACAGATGCCGTGGCCTGTGAGCCCACAGAGGGAGCCTTGAGATTTCCTCAAGGAAGAAGTTTTTACTTTTAGGCAGGGAACACTGTGAAATAGGCTTGCAGGGAAAATTCTAGAAGCTGATGTGACCACTCACTTTACTGTGAACCCCCTACGTGCCTTCTGTCCTGTGCTTTACCCATATGTGCACTCTGATCAATGACGCGTGGTTTGCTATGAGCTCGTGAAAATTCACAGAAGTGAGACTGTGCCGTCTTCTGCCTGCCTTTACTCACTGCCACGGCCGTGAGAGCCAGCCACAGGAACTCACGTCTACACGTGTGAGACTGCAGGCTGGGACATGCTCCATTTATACCCTAACGTCCGCTAGTAAGGTGTGGAGGAGGGCTGACCATCAGGTCTGTCTGCAGGGCCACAAAGCCCAGCACTCTCCCTAACCCACGTGAGGCAGAGGGCGGGCAGGACACTGGCCGCGAGCTATCCCAGGTGCTCACCTGGGCTCAGAGGACTCTGACAGAGGTGGAAAGCCGTAGTCCTCTGTCCTCACACTCTCCTGTCCCCAGAGATGCCATTCCTCCCCCAGAGGCTTCTCTAACCAAGTTAAAGCCACAGGTGGAGGTCACAGAACACCTGGTGGAGGTCCCCACCAGGCAGCCTTGCCCAGTGGCCATCCCCTCACCTAACCCCTCCTCGCCCAGCCAGCTACAGATCGACATGCACAGACAGGACAATCCCCCTTGGGACTCGTCCTGAAGAGCTGGATGGTCCTTCTCAATGAATGTCATTTATCCCCAAACACCCCGGGAGCTCCCCGAGCAGCGACTCCTGCAAGAGCCAGTTGTGTGACCACCTCTGGTCCAAAGGCAATAGGTCAGCAGGCCAGCTGACTCACAGAGGAAGGACAATTCGGGCAGCTGCCTGTGAGGTAAAAGAATTCGGGAAAGTAGGAAAGTAGGGGCAGCTCCTCAAAGTTCCCACCTGAGAGGATTTCCTGCCGTGGCGTCTGCGTTAGGATGTGGATTCATTTATTCAATCCGCCTCGACTCAGCCTCACTCAGGACCGGTTTGGCCCTGGACCGAGAGCTGAGAGGAGAGCAGGGGGAGAGAAGAGCCTTCACCGCAAGGGGCCTGAGCATCATGGGGTTCTTCTCTCCGGTTCCCAGGAGCGGGGAAGGTGAGTCTCGGTAACCAAGGGGACTCAATTCCTCTCCAACAGGGAAAGTGTCCCCTGGGGCCACTCCACCTGGACCCAAGTGGTTCAGAAGAGGCCTGGGGTCAGTAGAGGGCGTGGGCTCCAGAGTATCGCACCCCACAGTCAGATTCCTCCTCTCCCTAGACCTCCATAAACACGGCTGGAAACCCCCTTGATGCACCTTCCACATCAGCATTGAGAGATGGGGGGCAAGACCCACCCCCTGGGGCTGCTGGGAGGGTACATGAGGGAATGTGGATGAAAAGCCCCACCCCCAGCCACTTCTGTCACTGCAGCTTTGATGGCAGTTATGGCCTCTGCATGTGACCATCACCCAGGCTGGACTGGCAGCAGCAGGAACACAGGGCGATGTCGACACCATCTCAACTCCCCGCTCCTGGCTGAGGGTGCAGTAGTGGGTGCTTGGAAGTGTCCACTGCATTAAACCCCAATAAGAGACTGCAGCTTGGTTCCAGCAAGGAGGTCATATGTGAGCTCCAGTGCCTCCCAGGCTGCATGGATGCTCCTGGACAGGTGTGGCTGCAGCAGACACCAGGGGGTGGTGAGCAGATGGGCAGGTCGACCAAGCCCCGTGAGCCAGTCTCCAAGGGCCAGGAGAGTAGAGGAGCAGGAGGGGAGTGAGGTGAGGCAGGTGGGCTTCTCCCACAGGGAAGGGGCAGGTCAAAGTCCAGAGGAAAGATAAGGATGGACCGTGCCCATGGTGGCTGGAGTAGGGCAGAGGGCGAGCCACAAAGCTGGGGCTGCCGGACCTGACGTCCAGCTGCTATTTGGCTGCAGAAGAAGCTGCTATGCCTAGAGCTTGGGAACCAAAGGAGGAGCCCATCTTCTCAGAGGACCCCCCAATGGAACAATGCAGAGAGCCCCAGGACCCCACTGTGCACATTCAGCAACAATCAGCAAGCAGACTGAGCCCAACCTGAAAAGCTGATCATCAGGATAAATCCGTCCACCCATCCATCCACCCATCTACCCATCCATCCACCCATCTACACATCCATCCACTTACTTAGCCATCCATCCATCATCTATCCATCATCTGTCCATCCATCCATCATCTATCCATCATCTGTCCATCCATCCATCCATCCATGCATCACCTATCCAACCACCCATCCATCATCCATCCATCATCCATCCCCCCATCCACCCATCTATCCATCCATCCATCGTCTATCCATCCACCCACCCACCCATCCACCCACCCATCCATCCACCCACCCATGCACCCATCCATCCACCCACCCATCCATCCATCCATCCACTTACCTATCCATCCATCTATCCACCCATCCGTCCACCCATCCACCCATCCATCCATCCTCCATCCGTATACCCATCCACCCATATATCTACCCACTCATCTACCTATCCATCTACTTATTTATCCATCCAACCATCCATCTACCCACCCATCCATCTTACCACTTATCCAAACGTCATCTGTTCACTCATCCACTCAAATTTCAAAAGGACTCTGCCAGAAGCCCAGCTGATCACTTACTATCAGATGTTAAACACGTCAGTTAATCTTTTGAAGCTTCAGTCTCCCCCTCTGATAAAAGGGGATGATCCGGGGTGACCTGAGAATGAGCAAACAGGAGCCACTCTGCACAGGTGTTACGCGAACATGAGCACCATTACCACTCCCTGCACCAGCTGGAAAGTGGGTAATGGGATGCACATGTCAGCCAGCCGGTTCCAGCCAGAGCCAGAGTGTGTGCCACTGGGCAGAAATGTGAGAATGAAACCAGCTTCAATCTGGGGAGCTCTGTTCCTCGAGCCACTTTGCAGACGGTCAGCTCCCTAACCCATCAATCCAAGTCCAGGAAGCCTTTGTCTAAGAACAGGGAGGAATTAGCACACAGTGTGCCCATGGTTCTAGGCATCAGCAGTGATGGTTCTGAGAATGCTCATGCATCTTCTCACTTCAGGTTAATTTGAGCCTCACAAAGCCCATTTCACAGGTAAGAAAACAGAGGCTCCATAAATAGTGATCTAGATAGAAATATACAGCCGACCTCACGTTGCGGCTCCCTGACTCCAGCCCAGGGCTCCCCTGAAGGCTCCCTGTTCCATGCGGTCATGAACTCAGGTGACCACGACCTCTCCTGCGAGGGAAGGCGTCTTATCCCCGCGATACCCTGTTTTATGAACTGTGTCCTCCGCTGTGCTCCGCTCTCTCACGGTAGCCCCAGACGGCAGCAGGGGCCACAGCCCCTCCATGGCTCCGGGTTGGGAATGCCTTCCCCTCTCAGGAAAGGAGGCACTGG